ATACATACATACATATATATATCTGTTTCATTTGTAGCACTGTATGTTCAGTAGTCTCACTGCAATTGGTACGAATGAATTTCTATATGTCTGTTGTTGCTTTTTTGGAAATGTATCGATGGTTGAAATTCCGATGTCAGTGGGTGGCTATGGTCACTAAGCATTATTTCCGCCTTTTCTAGAAAGTTTGCTTTGTGCAGATATTCAAAGTTACTTAAGTCTCCACCAATTGTTCTTGGTGCCTTTCTCATCAACTTGTTTCTCTGGTTGTGGTGTAGAATATCTGAAGGATGGAAGACCCAAGTTTCTCAGAAAGTAAAGCCTCTGATTTACCTTTTAAACGATATTGTTAACGTGGTTTTGTCTTGTAGATTTGTTGTCAGATAGTTGTATGAATCCGTGATTTCAATTGTTTCCTGTTCAATTACGAGTGGTGGGATTGTTGGTTTTTCTCTTCTAAAATAAAAAAATCATTTCCTTTGTTTTTGAAAGGTTCACTTTTAGAAAACTTGAATTGCACCATTAAAAAAACCATACATATTTCTTCAAAATACTCTTTTCCATCAAGGTTTATTAATCCAATAATAGCGGAGTCATCTGCAAACTTAATTAAGCGTGTTGTTTTATATTTAGCTCATTATTGACCTAAAAAAATCGTGCTTGACAAAATTATTTGAAATAAAATAAACACATAAATGTGTTCGCCCTTTTAAACGACATTTTATCGTCCCACGTTTTCAGAAGAATTGAAAATGAAGTCACTCGGAACCAGGGCAGCCTCGCTGCTGTTGAGCCTTTTCCATGTTGTCAGCTGTGCTACTGACCTGACTCGAGTGGAGGGGCTGGGAGGGGACACGGTGGTCAGTGCCACATTGGCGCGAATCCACGAAACCTGTCTTTTCCCCAACGATTACCTCTTCCTGCGACGTCTAGCACACGTGGTGTCTGACGACGGGACAAACAACAATACTTACAGGGCAGGCTTTCACGGCGGGCTGTGGCAGGCAAGAACTCTTACTGTTTCCAGTCTGTGTTGTGTTTTTTGTTGGGTGTATTTTG